GAATGGATATTCAAAGTCTACAAAACCATCAAGTCTGATCTGCAATTTGTCGTAGATGACTATCCAGACTCTGCTGTGGATTAATCTCTTGTAATAGTATAGGCCTGCTCAACATTTTCAATTTGTTCATGTATGTAATTCTTTTTTAGAGGATGAGTTTAATCTCCTCTTGTATTTTTTAATTAGTCATTTCTTGCACCCTTTTGTCCAAATTTACTTTTTCATACTTAGGGGGAGATTGTTAGCTTCATTTTTCATCTCTTGTAAAAGTATAGAAAAAGTATTCTACAAGTCTTGACAGAAGGATACCTTCCACAGAAGACAACAGAGGACTAACAACTGAAGCCTTTTATTCGAGCAAGTAAAGTGTGACAGAACCTCTGATGTCTCTAACAGAGGTTCTGGAAAATGGTCCTCTGTCAATAAGAACATGCAAGTCAATTACAGCAGAGCCTCTAAGATGGCTCACAGAGGGTCTGCGGATTTCATCTTCTGTGAAGATCCTCTTCCAACTGTTTTTTTAGTGGTTATTAGCTGCATGTGCTTATCATGTGACTAGGACTTAATCGATTTTATTTGGACGGCTTAGATGATTTCACGCGTCAAGATCTTGTCAGTAAGATCGTTAGGAACTAGTATAAATAGCGGCTAAGGCCTTTGTAATCAGTGTGCTTCCAGTATTGTAATCGTCTAATTTTTCAATTGAATCAATTGAAAAACCTTTGAAGCAATTCTCCTGTGTTCATCTTCTTCCTCATCTTGACTGTGTGTTCTTGATTTATTTACTTTGTTCTGTTCTTATTATTGTTTTCGCTGCACTTTAATCGTCTTAGAGTTCATTCAGAGTATTAGATCAATATCAAAGCTGAATTTAGATCCTACAATATGGTTGCTAACAACTCCCTCTTATTGCACTCATTCTGCCACTGCTTTTGACCAAATGGTATGATCTAAATTAATCTTCTATTATATCCAATCCAAGTCCTAGGATATTACGTACCATATTCTTGAGTACACATATTTGTGGGTGTTTTCTTGTTTCTTTTAGCCTATGTTCATTTCTATAGTAAGCAAGTGCTACAACTCAATAGTTGCGCGTTAGCGCCCTTCATTCAGCTGCAAAAAGATTAATTGCTCCGACCCAGAATATGATTAATCCGGCATGGGATAGATGACTGAGAGTCACGGGATTTTGAAAGGACATCATCTAGCTCCTGAAATGCCTTTCTGGATATTCCTCAATTCCCTGGCTATTCTACTTTGTCATTCTTGAAGTTGTTTTGTTTGCCACATCAAAATCTTGGTGTGAAACTAGACAAATAATCGCCATGAAAGGTTGGAATTTTGATTGGACTTCCAAGACATAATAGGCCCATCAAGTTTTCTTGTCTTGCACATCCTTTAGTAACCAATAAAGTAAGATTTTCTCTTTTCAACAAATATACTTTTCGTTGAACATTGCAGTGTTCCTGTCCAACTTATCCAAATACGGATTTCCCACACTTATTTTTCTTAAAGCCAATTAGTGATCTCTTTCAAGAATCACTTTTCTAGTTTCAGGGTACGATCCAAGAGTGTTAATGCCATTTAAAGGTTTTTGTTCACATGCATATGCTAAAAACATTCACAATGAAGAGTTATATGATCTGGAGTCATTTTTTCAACACCAAATACTTATGATTGATGGGTAAGAAGTCTGGACATGTCTCATGACACATGAGATGAAGGGGGCTGTGTATGTTTGGAAAAAGAGAATACTTGGGATGATTTTCTTGGATTTTGTACTTCATTAAGGTGTGTTTGTCTTAATATAAGTCGTCTATCCGTTTCAATTTCAAGTTGGCATGAAAGTAAATCACATATCTGGATAGAAAAGAAACTCCCTTGCATTGATGTAACTTCCTTCAAATCAATCCTTGGCTTCTTCGGATTTACAGACTTTAGCCTTCAATCAAGTGCTAGTTGGAAATCATAAAGAGAAAGATTTCTCAAATATATTCCCATGATTCTTCTTAGTCAACCTCAAAAGCAGATTCATCATCAAACATGCAGAACTTTAGCAGCAACATTTGATCTTTTAACCTCAATACAAATTTGCATTAGTCACAAGGCCTTTTGAATTATCCTCTCTAATTACTTTGAAAGAAAGATGCTCAGTCATACCAAAATTCATCTTCTGTAACTAATAACTTCTTTGATAAAGCTCTTTTCATTCACTCTTTCACTAGTCTGTTTCAATCTTTGTATAAATTCAGCATAAAACATCAAGTAGTCTTCTAGCCAACTTCCATCAATAAAATGCTCCAGCAAGACGTCATCTTTCATAGTTTGCTCTTACAAAATGTCATCAATAAAAGAAACTTGATCCTTGTACATCTCAACATAGTACTCTTTTGGAAAAAAGTTTGCTAAATGGTAACTCTTTCAACAAATAATTTTTCTTTAAGAAAGATTTCATCAATCATGGGTTCTTCAAGTAGAGAAAATTATATCTTTGGAATTTGGATAAAAGGCTTGTAGATCCAGTACAGAGCATCATCGTAAGTTTTGGCAAACCAATCAAGATTGCCAAATAGATAAGCTTCCATGTCTGCAAAAAGTACCTTCTCCCTTTCTTCTATCATAAATTCTTGATTCAAGAAATTACTAAAAATTGCCAAGCTTCCATAACACCAATCAATTGGTCTTTCAACTCCAAAATTCACAATTGCAGACTTGATTATTTCAAACAGTCTTTCCCTTAACACTTCATAAACCGACTCTTCATCAACAAATGCTACTTTTGTTCATTCTTTCTCATATACAACCAAGGCTTCGCTTGAAACATCATCATTACTATAAGAGTTCATTGTATCTTCACCAAACTCCAAAACTTTTGTATCCTTAGAATTAACTTCTTCAGTATCCCCATAATTTGTCTCCATGAAGATATCCTCATCAGAATCACCAGAAAAATACTTCCTTTTAGCTCCTCTCTGCCCATCATGATCATCAGAGTCACTCTAATTTTCGTGCTTCCTCTTAACTCCATGAGATTCTTCTTTGAATGACAAATCTTTCCTTATTATCTTCATAACATCCATCAGATCAGACATATCTTTCTTGAATTTAGAAAATTTATCAACCATAGCAAAAATTTGGTTTAGAATTAGAGGCTTGATATAATGGTTGAGAACTTTATTGATGCTTCATAAGCTTTTCTGACAAGAGATCAAATTTCTAAGATGCAAGTATGAAAATCCATGAAATCTCCCTTTGATATAGAATTCCTACAACTCCTTCTATCAACCTTGAATTGTTCATTTCAGACTCTTTCACCTTCTTAAAATCTTCTTGGATAGAATCACAAGATCTTTCAACATTATCCATCTTCTTTAGATAACTTTTCCTCAACTAACTCCATCTTATGCACCAAGTACTGTTGATGATTGGATTTTTCTGCCACCAATTCATTTAACTTTGAATGAATCTTTGTAAATTCATTCTTGCAATAATCACTAAAGGATTGAAATTCAGCCTTTGTGATTATTGTTGATGGTAATCCAGAATCAACAAATGATTAAGTTTACAATTGAGTAAACAATTGGCCCATGTTTGAAACCGATTCATTTACAACAGATGTATGTACTTTTGGATCTTTTGTAATGTTCACTCCTGTGGGACTTCCATCTAATCCTTGACTATTCACAAACAGAATGTCTATAGATGTTGTTGCAGTTTGACGCACAAACTGTGATGTGAAGTCACCAAGACTTGTGTTAATGTGAATGAAAGAAACATCTTGTGCTTAAATAGGCTCAAACTTGGGTGGACTCCAGACTCGGTATGCATTGAACAAAGTTCCTCTTCTTCAATACCAATATCTTCCAAATGAGGACTTGGTAGTTTATAAGCTGATTACCCCATGAGTGTTATTGAAACACCCTCTTTTGAGAAGAAGGTGAGTGGATTGGTGGGGTTAATGGATGAGTTGGCATGACAGGCTGCCTATTTCAATAGTGTTCAACCAAGGATGTGAGACACTAGCATATGTGGTAGCCCGACTAGTAGTGGCTAGAGCAAGATTCTCGTATTCTTTTAAATTTTGTACTCTCAGACTCTCTTGAATTTTTCTCTCCACTACCTAAACTCTCATTTACATTTTCCAACTCTTCTCTTCAGCCATATGAACATCCTCCCTCACCCTTTGATTGTTTAACCCCTCACCTCTCTAACTAATTAAACGGTCTTCCAGGGTAGGACCTACCAACTCTGGTATATCCATAGAAGCACAATATTTTCTTAAAATCCCATTATCAAATCTAATATAGGATCTGAAAGTATCATATGAGTTTGAAATCTAGAAAGTGCTGTAGATTGCCTTAGTGAATCCATTTTGTACTTTGGTGCAAGTTCTTCTCCTTCTCTTTTAGGAACCTTGGGATTCCCATTCATTACTCCCCTAATTGCCATCTTCCAGGATCTCTAATAAGGAATGTAGCCTGGTGGTTTCTCCAAGTAAGTTAATATATCCTTTAGAATTAGAATTGCAAAGTCATAGTGCTTGTTGAAAGCAATTCCATTAAAGATAGTAAGAATGGTTATGTTGGTTTGATCTTGACTACCCGCCTTCCAAGAAATGCACCTATTTACAAAAGAAGAAAGACAATACCAGATTGGTGGTAAGCACTTTCTCTTAATCCACTTAAAGCAACTCTAACCTCAACACCAAAAACACCAAATATGGTGGGCCTATAAACACTAAAAAAAACTCAATTCCAATTACACTCTAAAAAAACACTAAATTTGTGGACCCCACATTAAAATAACATATTTTATTTACTATTTTTAATAACAATATTTATAATTTGTAATAGATATTATAATAATAAATAATTAGTAATTAATTTATTTAATGAATAAATGTTAAAATAAAAACGATATAATTTTAATTAATAAATTTTATGTTTAAAAAGATTACATTAGTTCAAATAGCACAATTAAAAAACGCATAAATAATACTAATTCTCCGAGTTAGTATACTCGTCCCACAAATGATCAATTAATGCATTACGAAGTTCGAAGTGAGCATCTTTATCCTTGATCTTTCTGTGTCGAGCAAGAAATTGTTCAAGTCCACCATTGTTATCGTTCATCATCTCAACTCCCACGTCTTGCACTTCATTTTGTTCTTCAATTGGTGCATTAATATCACGTTCATCTTCTATAATCATATTACGCATAATGATGCACGAAGTCATTATATCATGCAATATTTCCTTCCTCCATAACCGTACAGGTCCTGCTACTATTGTAAACCTTGATTGCAATACGCCAAATGCACGTTCTACATCTTTTATACATGTTTCTTGTTTTTTTTGCAAAATATTGTTTTTTAGAGCCATGTGGATCGTGAATAGATTGAACAAGAGTGGCCCATTTTGGATATATGCCATCAGCTATATAATAACCCATATTATATTATTTTACTTTGATGACATAATTAGCAGGAGTAGCAGTACCTGCATCAAGATTTGCAAAAAGATGGGAGGACTCCAACACATTAATATCATTGTTGGACCCCGACAAACCAAAATATGCATGCCATATCCAAAGATCATAGTCAGCTACAACTTCAAGAATAATACTTGGAGAACTACTATGACTGGAATATTGTCCGCCCCAACCGGTTGGACAATTCTTCCATTTCCAATGCATACAATCTAGACTAACTAACATTCCTGGAAAACCTCGTTGTTCTCCAACTTGGAGTAGTCGTGCCACATTATTAGCATTAGGTGTTTGGTGATAGCGGTCTCCAAACACCTCCACAATGGCACGACAAAACTGCCTCAAAGCTTCTAAAACCGTCGATTCGCCTATTTTAACGTACTCATCTGTAGCATCTGCAACTACGCCATATGCCAACATTCGAAATACAATATTAACTTTTTGATAACCGGACAACCCAAGTTTGCCACATCCATCCCTTCTTTGGAGAAAGTAGTTGTCATGACTTTGGATAGCATCCAAAATACGAAGAAATAAAGTACGACTCATTTGGAATTGTCGACGAAACATCGACTCAGGAATCGAGGATTTTTAGAAAAATTATCATTGAAGAGATTGCGATCGACATTTTCCCGATCACGATTGATAACTATATGGCCAGGAATAGAACCACGATAAGATACATGGTCGTTTGAATATAATTACAGATATAATTATCCACTTCAGACGCTAGATTGAATGCCTCGACCATTAGTTCGGCATTAGTATTATCAAAAGCTTCATCGTCTGAATACGAATTATCAGCCATTTGAGTGGTATTTCTCAACAAAGAAGAGTGCAAATATAGTTGAGATATTTTTTTATAGCTGTGATTCAAGTTTTATAGTGAGAATCAGTGGCGTTGTCAATTCTTACCAGACTTTTCAGAAGAATCTTATTAGACTTTTCAAAAGAATCTTACCAGTGTGTTGTCTAATCTGTCTTCATTTGGAGTGAACTGAAAATTTTGTGTATAAATAGGGGGCAAGTCGGTAAGCTAAATCACACACATTTTCATTGAGATATTACCAGCCTTTTCATAAAAATGTTTTCAACAATCCGAACTTCATCTTACAAAGATAACGTAGACATACATCTATGTCATTGTTATCTTGATATAACTCAAAATCCAATAATATGTAGAAACCAATCAAAAGATAAGTTTTAGTCAAGAGTAGAAACTCTTTATCACCAAACCGAACCGTTTGCAACCAACCCTCTACCAAGAAGATCATTGGAAACGAGAATGTCTTGCATTCTAAAAGCTTGCAAAAAATTGCGAGGGTGTATCAATCAAGTTCAAATGAGGAATCCAAGTGGTGCTTCTAAACAAGATATCGTAAGTATTTATTGTTTTAGTTGATCATTGTTTTATTAATTTAAATATAACGTGTATTTTTCATAGATGAAAGAAGCGAAAGAGATGTTAAAACTTGAGGGATCCTATAAGAAGGGTTTTAAGTTTGATCATGTCTGGGACATCTTGAAAGACTCCGAGAGTTTATCAAATGTCACTACATCAACTTAGTATCAACGACAAAGTCCTTATCAAAATCACCTTCTTCCGGTCCTGGTTCATCGTCGGGACAGATGCCGGTTTACCGTCGTTGATTATTCACGATGCAGAAGGTACTCAAAGACCAATTGATGTGAAAAAGGCAAAATCAAGGCTCCAATCTGATAATAAGCTAGAGACATTAGTCAAAGCTAGTAAAAAAGAGCAAACAATTAGCCAAAAACAATGAAGTTATGATGAGAAGGAATGAGCTTCAAGCTCAGAAAAATGCGATAGAGTTAAGGTTGGCGGATGACAAACTTATGTTCATTGATCTAAACTATATCACTGATCTTGTGTGTTATGAGTTCATAAAAAATGAAAAAATTCGAATAGCGAGATAGAGAGCAGAACCCCATGTTCATATGTTTGGACAAGGATAAAAATTCGTAGCATCTCAATATCGAGTATCTCAACATCAACAATTTGGAGGGGTTCAAGACCAGGTCGAAGGATCTCAGAACGTAGTAGGAAACTTTAGTCAGTTTATGCCTAGCGGAGACGATTGAACCCTTTAATTTATGTATTTTAATTTTTAAAATTTCCATTAATAAACTACGTTTATGTTTATCCGGTATCATATTTGTGTTATTAATACTTTATTATATATATATATATAAATTTACATAATAAATATAAAAACCTAAAAATTAATATTTGTAATTATTTATTTATAATTTATTAAAAAATTATTTATTTAGGAAATGGTGGTGGGGACCACCCTTTTGGTGTGAAAGTCTCCCACGGCAAATATGCCATTCAAAATTCATCATCGGCAAAGTTTTTGCCGTTTTCACCGGTCGGTTGGATCCAAAAGAACGGTAAACTAGGGTTTTACCGTTCGATTGGAGTTGCTCTTAGAACAGTAGGATTCTCTAAGAGCAACTCCAATCGAACGGCAAAACCCTAGTTTTGTCGTTCTCTTGGATCCAATCGCATGCCAAAAGCACCAATGTTTTGCCGGAGGAAGAAAATGAACGACATATTTGCCGTGAAGGAGATGAACGACATATTTGCCAAAAGGGTGGTCCCTACCACCTTTTCTTAAATAAATAATTTTTCAATAAATTATAAATAAATAAATAATTAAAAATATTAAGTTTTAGGTTTTTATATTTATTATTTAAATTTATATATATATATAATAAATTATTAGTAACACAAATATGATGCCGGATAAACGTAAAAGTAGTTTATTAATGGAAATTTTAAAAACTAAAATACATAAATTAAATGGTCCAATCGTCTCCGCTAGGCATAAACTGACTAAAGCTTCCTGCTACGTTCTGAGATCCTTCGGCTTAGTCTTGAGCTCCTCCAAACTGTTGATGTTGAGATACTCGATATGAGTTATTATTTAGCTGATGGCATATATCCAAAATGTGCCACTCTTGTTCAATCTATTCACGATTCACGTAGCCCTAAAAAACAATATTTTGCAAAGAAACAAGAAGCATGTAGAAAAGACGCAGAACGTGCATTTGGTGTATTGCAATCAAGGTTTGCAATAGTAGCAGGACCTGCACGGTTATGGATGAAGGAAATATTGCATGATATAATGACTTCGTGCATCATTATGCATAATATGATCATAGAAGATGAACGTGATATTAATGCACCAATTGAAGAACGAAGTGAAGTGCAAGACGTGGGAGTTGAGATGATGAACGATGGTGGACTTGAACAGTTTCTTGCTCGACACAAAAAGATCAAGGATAAAGATGCTCACTTTGAACTTCGTAATGCATTAATTGATCATTTGTGGGACGAGTATACTAACTCGGAGAATTAGTATTATTTATATGTTTTTTTAATTTATGCTATTCGAACTAATGTAATCTATTTAAATATAAAATTTATTAATTATATCGTTTTTATTTTAACATTTCTTCATTAAATAAATTAATTACTAATTATTTATTATTATAATATCTGTTACAAATTATAAATATTGTTATAAAAAATAGTAAATAAAATATGTTATTTTAATGTGGGGTCCACAAATTTGGTTTTTTTAGAGTGTGTGTTGATCCCAGATCTCTCAATAACACTAATAATCGAGTTAAAAATAACCAAATTATAATGTTTTAATGAACAAAGTGATGAACACTCAAGAATAAATTATGAACATTAAAGAACAATCTTGAGTGTCAAAGGTTTCACTTTATTAATAAGAAAAACGTAAAAGTGACATTTAATACAATAGGCATAATCACCTATTTATACTAGTAAGCTAATTAGAAGATAACTATCTAGTGACAATATTTAGCTAATCTTCTAATAACAGATAATGTTTATTTAAACTATTGATAAGCTATAATATTAAGATAAACTTGAAATCCAGCAATTGACTTCTCATCTCCAGCTGTCTTTCATGGGATGATGAATCAACCTTATMTTCATATCTTCATCGTATGCCTCTGGTTGAATTGCTGAAGAAAACTCTAAGTGTTGTTGACCAGAGGGGTGATGAAGATGCTCTTTCCAACGCATCTCTGGTTGTTCATCGACCCTCTGGTTGTTCTCCAGACTTAGTCAATTCTGCCTTGATGTCTTCATCGGTCTTCTGGTTATTCATCACTTATTGTTTTTCATTACTTTTACGCTTTATGGATTATGGGGTCTAACAATCTCCCCCTAAGTAATGAAAGAACATAAACTAATCTATGAATAGAATTGAAGAACAGAGACTAATCTAAAGAAAAACATCAAATTCCAAATTTCCATTGGATGATGAATTCTTACAATACTGGAAACAAAATACATCATTTTTAAGGCAAAAATTTACAACTCATCATGATCTACCTTGAGATATATCCTAGAAGCATAGAAGCAGTCTTCGATAGCTGATGATTGTTGATATCTCATGAATGAGTTGATTCCCATCTTCTCTTGGCACATGGGATCTACCAAGTCTTTCTTTGATGATCTTCTGAAACCACTCAAGTGTATCGGTTGAATACTTGAAGGCTTCAGTCAATCTGAAGAATTTCTTTACCCCGAACTCATTCTTGAAGACTAGTCCAAGCTCGGGTTGAGTTAAGACTGAGGTAGATCTTTTCTCCTGCAGGCCAGGGAAGTCTTCATTTGGTGAGTGCAGGAGAGTCTTTCGATGCCTAAACGAAGAGCAATTTCAAAATCACTCTTGGCTCGATGCTTTACCAGGGTCTCCATTGTCTTCACAACTGCTCTGTTCGCCATCCCAAATTTGATGCCTTGATCCTGTCGCTGAGCCGTGTATGCATAAAGTTTGATCAAGTCATAAGGATTGAGGTTGATGAGGTCATTTTCGTTGAACACGCTGATTTGACCATGTGCTCTTTCCACTGTGTACTCGATGTATCTTATGGCTCTATTGGAGAAGGTCCTCACTTTTAGATCCATAACCCTCATTATCCCATCATTTGAAAAGACAACCTGTGGTGCTTAGGTGGTCTGTCTAATAAACCTATATTGTAGGAGGTCCATGGACTCTGCCGATAGAATTGGAGGATTGAGGGTTAAACTTTCATCGCGGTTGTGATATAAGTATTGATGGATATTTTCCATCATTATGGGTTCCCTAGGTGGCAACTCTGGACGTCTCCGCAGCGACTCCATGTTCTGAATAATTTTATCGACTAGGCTTTGCGGAGGTTGCCTAGACGAAGAGGGAATATTCGTTTGCACCATGGTTGGTTGGGTTGAGGGTTGTGTATGGGTTGGTGAAGGTATAGTTTCTTGTTGGGTTGGTTCAGCTTGGGTTGGTTCTAGTTCCTTGGGTTCAGAATGGGTGGTTTCTGGTTCATGGGGTTCTGTTTGGGTTTGAGATTGTTGGGGTGAGGAAGGTTGAATTATTGTTGGTTCTGGTTGTATGGATAAGGTGGTGAAGGGTTCTGTGGTGCGAGGGGTTGGTGAAGGAGTTAAGGGTAGGTTTGGTGTTGGTGATGGAGTAAAAGGTGGGGAGGTTGGATTTTTATCGGTTGAGGAACTCAACACAATGGGTTCTTGGGTAGTAGCAAAGGGAACATGTACATTTTGTACATCTTCAGAGGGCTGAGCCTCTGGTTCCCTTGCTTGGGTTCCTTTGGTTGTGGGTGGTGGTTGTTCTTGTGTTTGTGGTGGTGGTGCAGCAGATTCCATTTACTGGGCAGCCGCAGCCTGATCCTCCCCCTCATGAGGTCTAAGACCTTGATCATCGGGGTCTGGGTCGTCATGTCAGGGCCTTTTTTGCG